GAAAGGGGGTAGGTTTTAGTCGTTAAAGGGGTAAGGATAATAGAGGTAATTTCGGACGGGGGTTCGAAGGTATAGGGAGATAGTATAATAGATATAGGAGTAATATTTTAAGGGTAAGGGTTAGTAGGGATAGGAGGGAAGGTTTTAATTATAGAAGAGGTTAGTTTTAGGAAGAAGGAGAGGAGTAAGGGTTTTAATAGTGAGAGGGGTAAGGGTTCGTAGTAGTATAAGGGGTAAGGGTTTTAATTATCAAAGGGGGTAGGGTTTTAGAGGTAAATAGGTTATTTTTTATTATTATTAGAGGGGTAAGGGCTAGAATCGTAAGAGGGGTAAGGGTTATAGTTATTATAGGAGGGGTGAGGGTTTTAATAGTGAGAGGGGTAAGGGTTTTAGTATTATAAAAAGCTTAGGAGGGTAGTATTAAGGGTTTTAGACCATAATTACTTAGGGGCCAATAGACCAGAATTAGGAGATGGACATGCCCGTATATTTAGTTATTAGGGTTTTAGGCTTAGGCTTAGGCTTAGGCTTAGGCTATCCCATGGGGTGAACTGTAATGAGGCTCGTTACAGTTTAGTCAGCATTTTTTTATATAGGGTTAGGGTTTCCCGAGGGGGCAGATTACAGTTAGTTTCAGGGTGCCATTACAGTTACGTTCCCGTGGTTTTTTTCCGTTCAAATTTTTACCAATTCCAATTGAACAGTCAATTGTTTATTATCCCGAGTTACCAGGCAAAGCAACGTTTTGGAGAGGTTGTTACAGGGATTCAAAGTTGGGGAATTATTTTGATGGGGTACGGTCGGCCGCGCCATCACCAATATCATGAAACCCCAACACCCATCACCGCGCGATTCATCACACACGCATTATTGGTTCGATTCGTTTGAAAACCCAGTCGAGGATTTCAGGGGTTCCGATCAGTTCCCAGTTTCAATTTTATCAACATCCGAGCAGTTCCCAGCGTTAGGGTTTCACCAGCATACATTCAGTGGACAATCCGCATTGTGAGATATATATCCATGGTTAGTATGAGTGAACCGGCAGAACCCACCATTGCCGACCGGTATTTTATTTGCAATAAGCAGTGGGGAGTTGCCATTTGTCGCCAGTGCGAGCATGGAGTGAAGCCCAAGGAGATAGTCCGTCATTTGACCAACCCCAAGGGCAAGCACCGCGTCCGCAAAGGTGTTGCAGAACAGGTAGTGGATATTATCCGACATGCCGATGAATGGGATAGCGTCAAGGAAGAGACCAGTTGGTTCCCCACGAGCGTAAACCGTCCCGTTCCGGTATTGCCCATTTACCAAGATGGGTTACAGTGCCAATTTTGCCAGCAGATTTACCGCAGTCGCGACAGTTTGCGAGTGCATTGGTCGAGGGAGCATCGGTTTTCCGCGTACGGCCATGGGGGCAAGCCACGACCATCCGAGGTCGCCGCAGGCAAGCAGAACCAAGAGGAGCGAGCCAAGCGAGTCGTGTGCCAGCGGTTTTTTCCCCGTGGGTTAGGGTCGCATTATATCCACATACGCCATCCCGGTCCCCAGTACGAGCCCGAAGCACCGCCACCCCAGGCCACGCAAGTCGCCGAAGCCGTGGAGCGGTTACGCGAGGTGTTTACACGGAAAATGCAGTTAGAAAGCGAGATCCAGCCCGGCGCCATCGACGAAGCCAATCCATGGTTGGACCGAACGGGATGGGCGGTATATTTACGCGGGCGTAACCCCAGGGAATTACGGATATGCATTGAAAGCCCGACGGAAGATGCGGAGGGTGACGAGGGTACCACACGGGTGATTTGGGATACCATATTACGTGTTGCCAGCAAAAGCCAGAGTATCACCAAACGGACAGGACATTTGTTACGGATCGAAGCCGCCCGTACCGACATAGAGAAGATCCCATCGAAGCCATTGCAGGTATATATGAATACGGACGATGAGTTGGAGCGCCATGTCGACCCATGGCGCCGCATTTTGATGTTTTTCGCCCGCACCCAAGTTCAGCATGATTGGAACAGTCCGGTGTACCGGTTCAGTAAACGGCAACGCAAGGCGTGGGACGCATTATGGCATTCCGCCGAGTGTTATAAGGACCGGGCCGAGCCGATCCCCACCGACGGTACCGACCCGAACCCGGACGTATTACAACCCGTGGAAGCCGATTGTATGGAATTTATGATTGAATTGTTAAACCAGCGCATTCGATCGACCGAGTACGAGTTAGCGTTGGTGTGTGCATTGGCCGTGTTAGGTGTGAGTGACCATGACACCGGTCGACCATGGAAGGATCCCCACAGTTACCCCCAGATTTTGTCCAGCGTAATCAAGGTGTCCCGGTTCGTCGTTGTGCATCAGTCGTTTTTGTTAGACCCGGATGCGCGTGAGTTATTACAGGTTGGGGAGAATAAGTTAGTGGGGGAGTGGGATGACCCCAGTCCAGTCGATTATATATTTTCACATCAACGGGATAGCCGCAGTCCGCCCCAGACCCGAGCCACAACGCCCGAAGTATCCAGTTCGCCCGCATTTGGTAGTTTGCCCAACAGTTCCCCACCACCCGTTGCATTCACCCAGCAGGCACGAGAAGGCACCAAGACATGGCGCGAATGGATTCGTATCATGGTCACCGGGTTTATGGTGCACGGTACCGCCGGTCCGATGGAATGGATGATGGATTTACGCCGATATGGGTTAAAGGTCCATTACAATACCCCGTCCGTCGGGCATATCGGTTGGGGCAACGGGGACGAATTGTCGTACAAAACGATGCGGTTCACCATGGGGGCATTCCGCGGGTTCATTCATGGGTTGACGGCCAGCGCACGACAATTGATGGTCAACCAGATTTTGCGGTGCCCACCCGACCAGATTCCCGTCATCCCATGGGATCGTATAGCCGACGATTTCAACCAACCCAAGGCCGGGTGGAGTTTTTTGCAGGACGAGCGTACGCCGTGGCCCGTCGATGGATCCCGGTGGATGGTGGACCGGGTACGGGAGGAGCATCCATTGCAGCAGTGGTTTATGGAAGCCAGGACCAATCGGTTCAGTATTGATGCGATTCAACGGTTTTTCGGGTTCGTCAATGAGTTCAAGGAGAAGTTAGCCATTGTTTCGCATTTCACCAGTGGGCAGCCCCCGCGTGGCCCCGAGTTATTGAGTATCCGTCACCGCAACAGTGCCGCCGGTGGACACCGCAATGTGTTTATTGAAGATGGATTGGTGGCATTTATCACCCGGTACCACAAGGGGTTTTACGCCAGCGGGGATGCCAAGGTGATTCATCGGTACGTGCCCCGCGAAGTGGGCGAGTTGGTGGTGTGGTATTTATGGTTAGTGTTGCCATTTGTCGAGATGTTGCAGGCATACCATGAAGAGGCATGCCATTTAGACGCCGTTCCCGACACGCATGCCACCAAGATGTGGGGGTGGATGCCGGTAGTGGACGGGAGTGGACGCCGGCGCGGGTAACGGATGTGATGGTCCGGGAAAGTAAGATACGGTTACACCATGGATTGACGTTGGCCGCATACCGGGACATTGCCATTGCCATTAGCCGGCGGTATTTCAGCAATGCCAAACCGTTCCCACACAACGTCCGCGAGGATGGAACCGAGGTTATAGCCGACGACGAGGAGAACGAGGATGCCATGGACGACGAGCAATGGATCCGACATATTGCCGATTTACAAGCCGCGCACACGACCCACGTAGCGGAGATGGTGTATGGACGCATGATGAGCCAGCAGCAGGGGACCACAGCGGGTCGGCAGGCCGGGTTTCGGACGAGCAGCGTGCATTGGCATGATTTTTTAGGGTTTAACATCAAGGATATCCCGAGCCACGTATTGGGTAAGCGGCCACAGCCCCGGTGGAAGGACGAGGGGGTTATAATGCGGGACGAGCGTCAGCATTTGGTGGAGCAGACCAATATGACCGAGGCGTTGCAGCGGATGACCGGACAGCCCACGATACAGTTCCGCGGGGTGCAGGGGGCCGCCATCCGGTCGATTCAAGCGGGCCATTCCCGGGTGGTCGTGGTAATGCCCACGGGCGGTGGGAAAAGTATGTTGTTTATGTTGCCCGCGTGGGTGGCCCAGCGCGGCGGATTGACCGTTGTAGTAGTGCCATTGACGGCATTACGGGCGGATTTGCAACAGCGATGCCAGGCCGCCGGCATTCCATGTGTCGAGTGGGCCAGCCATCGACATCCCGATCATGCGGCCATTGTGTTCGTCACGCCCGAGTCCGTGTTCACGGACGGGTTCCAGTCGTTTTTGAACCGCCAGCGCGAGTTGATGCGGTTGGACCGGATTGTTATCGATGAATGCCATATGATGTTGAGCGAGTCCACGACGTTTCGCCCACGGTTACAGCAATTAGGTCGATTGCATCAGTGTGGCGTGCAGATGGTGTTTTTGACCGCGACATTGCCCCCATGCGAGGAGACCCGGTTGTTCAAGCGAATGCAAGTGGAGCGGGAGGACATCAGTATCCACCGCGAGCGAACCAGCCGTCACCATGTGGCATACCGGGTGTACCGGCCCGTGATTGCATCGGCATTTCGATCCCAGACGCAATGGATCGAGCAGCCCAGTATCCAACAGTTCATTCGTGACCGCGTACGGCGCGCGCGGCCCGGACGAGTGATTGTGTACGGCAGCACCCGGAATATTGTGACGCAGGCGGCCCAGATATTAGGATGTGCCGCATATTACAGCGACCAGGACAGTAAGTTAGGGATATTGGAACAGTTCCGACGTACGGCGAATGGGGTGATTGCAGCCACGAGTGCATTAGGGATGGGCGTGGATATTCCCGATATTCGATGCATCATTCACATCGGGTTTCCCCGGTCGTTGTTGGATTACGCACAAGAAAGTGGCCGTGCCGGACGGGATCAATTCCCCAGTGAAGCCATTATCATCCAGCCGGAAGGGTTTGACGAGGTCCCGGCATGGTTTGACCAGAACACGCCCCGCGAGCAAAGCGGGTTCGAGTTAGTCCGGCAGTACATGGCCAGTGATCATCAGTGTCGTCGAGCGGTGTTGGATGGTTATTTGGATGGGGAGATCGATGGAGATACCCGCGAGCAGTGCGGCGACCACGACCGGCAGTTCGGGTTCGTCGAGCAACGGTGTGATCAATGTGACCCCGATTGGGAGGCGGCCGAGACCGATGATAGGGACAGTGATACCGAGATGGATGATCCCCATACGAGCATCCCGAGCAGCGCGTCGGACGCCGGGGTCCCCATTGAGGCGCAGCATCGGTACCATCAGCAGGAGATGGTGCAGACGGCGATTTCGGAGCGAGTGCGGACGTTGCAAGCGCAGCAGTTATCGGACGAGGAGTTTTTAGCGCAGGAGGCACGGCAGTGGAACCACCGATGTTGGTTATGCGTGCAGGCGCAGCGGGATGATGTCCAGCATGATTTGTGGAGTTGCCCCGCGGGCGAGAGTGCAGAGTGTCGACGATGGGTGCGGGCGATTCGGGATTCGATACAGTATATAGCAGGAGGATTTTATTGTTGTTATTCGTGTGGTATGCCGCAGTCGATTTGTCCCGGTTGGGAGGCCGGGCAGCAATGTGAATACCGGCAGTTTTTGTATCCGATGATGGCGATGTTAATCCATTGGCAATGGGCCGATGGGCGACAGGGAGGGTACGAATGGTGGCGCCAGCGGATGAAGAGTGCCAATATCCGCGTGACGGATTTAGACGCCGTACGAGCATATTTAGCGCAGTCCGTGGACACCAGGCATTCCCGGTTAGCGCATGAGTATGTTTGGTTGCGTCGGATGTATCAAGAGTATGGGTTTTCGTGAGATTGCAAAGATATGGCAGGTATATATATAGGTAGATCGGTTAGGATTGGAGATGTATATTTCAGTACGAGATTTCCCGAGGAGACCAAAGAGATAGAATTTACATATCGTGGTTAGGGTTATCGATATTAGAGTTTCCGATAATATGGAGTTTAGGCGAGAGGGTAGTGATAAATTTAAGGGGTCAGGGTTATAGCGGCGTAAGGGGGTAGGGTTCCATGTTTCCGGGGTATGTTATTAGTATTAAGAATAAGGATATATATATAGATATATAAACGGAGGAGTATAATAAGGTAGGAAGTAAATAGATATTCGATAAATATAAATAGGATAGGAGGTAGAATAGTAGTAGCGAACAGGAGGAGGTTATTAGTTAAATCGAGGGGTAAGGGTTTTAATAGAGAGGGAGAGAGAGGGGGTAGGGATATTGTAGTATAAGGGGTTAGGATTATAACGGGGTAAGAGGGTAGGGTTATATTAAGATGTAGTAAGATATCGGCGTAGGGTAGAGTAGGATAATAAAATAAATATTTGGAAAGGGCAGTAGGGGAAGATATATAAGTGAACAGAGATCGGAGAGAAAGGGATATATATTAGGAGGAGGATTAAATTCGAAGGTATATGGATGGAGATATATATACAAGGGTAATAGGGATAGGACGATATATAAGAATTTCAAATGGGGAAGAAGGTTCAGAGTAGGATAAATAGGTCGGTAGAGTTTAAGATAGTGGAGTAGTGAAATTAGAAGGATAGTAGGTAAGGAGGTTAGATAGATAAGTCGGATAGAGAAAATAAGTAGGAGGTACGGGATATAATAGTAAAATAGTAGGAAAGGGGATTAGTATAGGAAGGAGGGTATTAATTATAATGTAAGAGGATGGTAGTAAGGATTATAGGAAGAATTAAAGTTATAAGGATTTATAGAGGAAGGGATATTATTAGACATAAGGACAGAAGTAAAATGGGATAGGAATAATAAGAGGAAAAGGATATAAAGGTAGTAGTGAAGTAGGTAAAAGAGGGAAGGAATAGTTAAGGGATATGGGTACAGGATATAGTTATAGTAAAGGGGTGAGGGTTTTATTAGCGAGAGGGTAAGGGTTTTATTAGCGAGAGGGTAAGGGTTTTATTAGCGAGAGGGTGAGGGGTTTCGTAGCGAGAGGGTGAAGGGTTTAGTAGTGAGAGGGGAAGGGTTTAGTAGTGAGAGGGGAAGGGATTTAATAGTGAGAGGGGAAGGGATTTAATAGTGAGAGGGTAAGGGTTTTATTAGCGAGAGGGCAAGGGTTATCGCAGCGAGAGGGTGAGGGGTTTAGTAGCGAGAGGGTGAGGGGTTTAGTAGTGAGAGGGGAAGGGATTTAATAGTGAGAAGGGTGAGGGATTTAATAGTGAGAAGGGTGAGGGGTTTAGTAGTGAGAGGGGAAGGGATTTAATAGTGAGAAGGGTGAGGGATTTAATAGTGAGAGGGGTAGGGGTTTAGCATGATTAGAAGGGTTAGGGTTATAGCATGATAAGAGGGGTGAGGGTTTTAGCATGATGAGAGGGGTAAGGGTTTTAGCATGATGAGAGGGGTAAGGGTTTTAGCATGATTAGAAGGGTGAGGGTTATAGCATGATAAGAGGGGGAGGGTTTTAGTAGTAAGGTAATTAAGAGAGGTCAGGGTTTTAGTAGTAATATAGGTAATAGTTAGTAGTAGTGAGAAGTAAGGGTTTTAGGTATAGAAGACGGTAGGAGAGGTGAAAGGGGGGATGGAAGTTTAGGAGAGGAGATGGATGTTTATTTAGGAGAGATGAAGTTAGGTGAATTAGGCGGGGTTAGGGTTAG